CAGGCCAGGAGGAACAGACTTTGAGAACCACTGCTGGAACTCCTCCCAGCACCAGCTTTTGGAGGAACTGGCTCCCAATAGAGGAGGCCAGGGAGGAAGGGGAGCCAGCCTGGGGGGCGACAGATAGCCCAGATCCCCTCCAAACCAGGTGAGCAGAGCAGAGACCACCTGTGTAGCCCCCTCTATCCTGGCCAGAGGGCAGTGCTGCCAGCTTGTCCCCCTAGATGTGGGCAGTTGAGCTGAGGGCCCCAAAGCCCTACCTCACTCACTGGCCTGATCCTCCCTGGTAGTAAAGACATGCTTGTGTGACCAGGCAGAGAGAACCCTCAACACCAGCCTCCTCCACCCCGTCTCTCCATCTGTTCGCTCTGCCTCTGAGGACTTCTTCTATTTCTGATCTTTCTTTCCTCCTCTCTAGCCCCAACCTGCTCCCACCGCTTAGCCTTTCTTCCTCTGCCACTTTCCTTCCTCTGGACTTTCTCCCTCTCCTGCCTCTATCTCTGACTTTGCTGGTATCTACCTTCCTTGTAAGTCCTGGGCTGAGAGTGGCTCGGGGCTGCAAGGCTAGCCAGATGGCCCTCAGGCCAGAGGCACCTTCAGGCTCTCTTCCAAGCAGAGGCAAGAGAAAGAAAGTGAAGGCTAGAGGGAGGGTTGGGGCCACACTGGCCAGCAGGCAGCCAAGCACTTGGTCGGGGTGGGGGTTGGCCCTAACAGTGGGTGAGCAAATGCAGAAAGGGGTGTTGATCTGAATCTGTTCTGTGGCAAGGAGGAGGCTGACTTCCAGCAGGGAAAACCATGGAGTGAACTGAGGTGGGGGGAGGGAGAAGAAGGGAGGAAAAGGGGGTGATGGGAAGTGGGCGAATGGGGCCAGAGAGACAGGAGGGAGGGGAGAGGGCCCAGGCCTGCTAATTCCTGGAAAGGGCTCCTACCTCTGAGCCTTGCTCCCTGAAGTACCAAGAGGCATTGGGGCTCAGGATCCTCCAGCTCTGACCCAGATGGGGGAAGTGCCAACTGCAGCCTGGGAGTTTCCATCAGGATCCAAAGTGCCTGGACCCCACAGAGGAACCCAGGACCCTCTGTCTCCCTGACCAGGGCTGAGTTCTCAACAGCAGAATCAGGGACTGGCCCAGACTCAGGTGCCCCTTCTGGAACTATGTGAGTGTCAGTGGACTCCAGGGCCAGAGGTGTCTGGTGACCTACCCGTTGGACACAGCTGGCATGGGTTTGCCGGTCCTGGAATTCAGGCTGAATGCTCCTATCCTGTGGAGAGAAAGTCTGCCATGAGCCCAGTACCCTGGGCCAGAAAGGTCAGAGCACTCGACCTTGGAGACCTTGATGCTTAGAAGCAGGTGTCTGTCCTGGAGGTCATTAAAATGGATCAAGTTGGGTGCTGGTGGCTCACATCTGTAATCCTAGCTACTCAGGAGACAGAAATTAGGAGGATCACGGTTCAAAGCCAGCCCAGGCAAATAACTCTCAAGACCCTACCTCGAAAAACCCCATCACAAAAAAAGGGCTGGTGGAGTGACTCAAGGTGTACCGACTAAAAAAAAAAAAAAATAGGACCAAAAGCCACAGGCAAAGGGAGGGGAGAGGTTTTCTTCCAGACCTGGGCAAGTTAATCTACCTTCAAAGTTCTCAAAGTGGGGTCACCTGGGAAGGCCCACCCAGACCTATAGGATCAGAAACCCAGAGCCTGGTCACGTGGACCCCACGTGACCCTAATGCCTGCTACAGGTGGAGAACTGCAGGTCCACCTTGTTGGACCTCAGTGTCCAGGCTGTGAAATGGGGGAGACTGCTGCAAGGGTCACAGGAGGTCCTGGTACAGGTTGAACTGTGCCCCCTCAAGTTCATGTGTCAATTAATGTCTTAAGCCCAATACCTTAGAATTGGGAGACTAGGCTTTAAAAAGATAATTAAGGTAAAATGAGGTCACATAGGTAGGTCCTAATCCAACATGATGGTGTCCTTTTAAGAACACACGAAGACACAGACAGAGGGACAGCCATGTGAAGACATAAGGAGGAGAAAGAGGAAAGCTATCCACAGGTCAAGGAGAGAGGCCTCGGAAGAAACCAACCCTGTGCACATCTTGATCTTGGACTTCTAGCCTCCAGAATGGTGACAATGTCTGTTACTTCAGCCATTCAATATGTCTGTGGTGTTTGCTAAAACAGCCCTAGTAAACTAATATAGTCAGCAGTCAGGCATGGTAGGCATGCCTGTAATCCCAGCACATGGGAGGCTGAGGCAGGAGGATGGAAAGCCCCTGACCAGCCTGGGTTGCATAGTGAGACTGTCTCAACAAACAAACAAACAAACAAACAAAAAACTAAAGCAAAAAAAGCTAATAGAGGACTAGAGGTGTGGCTCAAGCAGTAGAGCTCCTGCTTTGCAAACAAGAAGTCCTGAGTTCAACCCCCAGTCCCACCAAAAATAACCAAATCTTTGGCTGCTCCAGTCCCTCCTGTAAAGTGACATGGTACTTGCACAGAACCTGCACACAGCCTCCCGCATGCTGTAAGCCACTTTTAGGTCACTTACAATACCTACTACAGTGCAAATGCTACTTAGGAGTTGTCACACTGTATTATTATTTAGGGAATAATGACAGGAAAAAGGCCTGTACATCTTCAGTACAGATACAACTTTACTTCAAATATTTTCGAGCTACAGCTGGTTGATTGTGAATGTGGAACCATGGACATGGAAGGCCAGATTTCACGAGCCACAATGGCCCTTGAGCCTGGCCCATAACAGATGTTCGGTAAGCAGGAGCTGGCAGTGGGGTTTAGTCATGGAGACAACTAAACTTGGATGCAAGAAATCTTCCGTGGGGGTGCAAGGCCCACCTCTCCCACCAGCACTTCTAGTAACCTCCATGTTTTACATCCTGCCTATCCTTTAGGACTCAGCTAGAAAGCCATCTCCTGCAGGCAGGCTCCCTCTGTCCCTTACCCCAGGTGTGCCCTCCACCAAAGGTGGACTAGTTGACAGCAGGCAGGAAACAGACTAGTGGGCTTTGAACCCAGGGAAGTGGTAACTGGAGAGCACAGACCACCCACTCCTGCCATCTCCAGCTCTGTGTAGAGCCTTGGTGGGGGTGGGGGTGGCAGCCAAGGATGGGCTATTCTTAGAATATGGTTGACATGAGAACCAGAAAAAGGGCAGATGGTCCTGAGCCCCTGCTCTCACTCATGGGAGACCAGCCAAGATAGAGAACGAACATAACATTACAATTAAAACTGGTTAACAGCCAGGCGCTAGTGGCTCCATGCCTATAATCCTAGCTATTTAGGAAGCAGAAATAAGGAAAATCCAGGTTTGAAGCCAGCCCCAGGCAAACAGTCCTTGAGACCCTATCTTGAAAAAAAAAAAATCACAAAAAAGGGCTGGTGGAGTGGATCGAGGTGTAAGCCCTGAGTTCAAGTCCCAGTATCACAAAAAAAAAAAAAAACCAGGCTCAACTGGTAAAGCGTCTGTCTAGCAAGCATGAGGTCCTGAGTTCAAACTCCAGTTAACGCAAAACAAAAACAAAAAACAAAAACAGGTTAAGATAACCCTAGCTAGTTATGGATATCTTTGTTATAACCATGTCTTGAGAACAGTTTAGATATGGCCAAGCATGGTGGCTTTCACCTGTAATCCCAACACTCACCCTCAGGAGGATCCTCTCAATAAAGTCTAGAGTTCGAGGTTCCATAACTTGGGCAAGTTCAAGGCCAGCCTAAGCAACATAGTAAGACTCTATCTCAAAAAAAAAAAAGATGGGGGACAGAGGCACGCTGAAGCATAGAGCACCTGCCTGGCAAGCAGTAGGACCTGAATTCAAACCTCAGCACCACAAAAAAAGAAGAAGAAAAAGAGGATAAGAAAGATAACTGAGTGCTGTAACTGTGATGCTGCTGACTTCATGATCAATTGTTATTTCTCCTGCATAAATTCCATTTTTTATTGCTGCACAAAAATTCTTCATGCCCTGGATTATAATGGCTGTGTTTCATTGTAGATTTGTTGGATGCTCTGACAGTTTTACTAAAGCTGGGTATTTGCTGGCATTTGTAAGTGGAGTTGACTTTCACTTGTCTGCGATGATGTAATCTCAGTCTTAAAGGCGGAAGGTAAGCTGGATAAATTCGTTGGGTCCCCTTTGACTTGCAGTTGTAAGTTAAATCTCTGTTGTTTTGGTGAAAAACATAAATGAGTTAAATAAAATGGGACCAGAGTAAGGGAAGTGAGTCCACTGGGAACCTGACAGAAGCATGTGGAGTGGGGCTGATGCCTTGCCTAGCCTGATCTCTCCACTTCCTGCCTGCCCCGCCCTGTGGCCTGGACGCTTGTCTTGGTCTCTAGGCTGCTCATGCCTGGGCTTTGACCCTAGGGCTTCCTTAGGGACAGGGACAGGAGCGGTCATCTGTACTACCTGGCCAGCCCTGGCAGGGGTCTGAGTCATCTTAAGGCCCCATGCTGAGAGGGCTTGGAGTCCTCATCACAGGCCAGAGCCTGCTCATAGAAACAGCGGTCCCCTAGGAGCACATGGAGGTGCTCTAACGCTGGCTGTCCAGGCAGGGTGGGAAGACCCTCCCGCCCACGGCAGGCGTACAACATGGTGGGAACAATCTGGAGGAATATGCTATGTGAGAAGAGTCCCCAGGTTTGAGGCCTCTCACTTCCTTGTTGTGTGGCCTTGGGCAAGTCACTTCCCCTCTCTGGTCTTTAGCTTCTTCCCACAAATAATGACAGAGGTGGAGCTGGAAATGGACTAGAGTGTCTCTGGCCTTCTCAGGATTATGGTGCTCTAATAACCCAGCTGGAGTTCCCTCCAAGATATCTGGGTTAGACCTCCTGTGAGGGCCAGGCCATGGGGTCCTCTTGTCCCTAATCCCCCTGCAAATGCCATTGTGGCAGGCTCATGTTTGCTCTAATCCTCAAGCAGCCCTCATAAGAGTAGGCAGCACCCAGGGGCACCACCCAGACAGGGTGAGTGGTTTTCTACACTTACGTTAGAGGCTTCTCCAGACGGCTCCCAGAGGACCCCACAATCTCTCCGAGGGTGCAGAAGGCCTGGCCCAGGAAATCCTGCAGACCCAGGAACCAAAAAAGACCAGCATCACTCACTCTGCTGACAGCCACCCCACCTCCCTCATCGCCTAAACCCCAGAAGCATGAGGGCTGTGAAATGACAAGTCGCGACATCAGACACACATTGTCACACTGAAGCCCGAGGCTGACATTTAAGAACTACGGACTCTCAGGCAGTCACAGGAGGACTCACGTGCTTGGATAAATCTGGGCTCTTAGAGTCCACGTCGTATCTGCAGGGAACACAGAGAAGCAGGGAAGGCAGGTGAGGACATCCTGTGAAACCCTCACAGGGTCTTTGAGTAGTCAGGGCCTCCTACCCCACACAGGCTCTCATACTGTGGGATTCTAGGAGAAATGACTGAAGGGGTGCCGGCCATGTTCTGTCCCTTGACACAAGTGTGAACAGGTGTCAAAACACATTCTGGGGTAGACTTAAGATCTGTGCATTTCACTGGCTATATGTTACCATTGTTAAAAACTGAAAAACGAGCTAGGCCCCTGTGGCTCACACCCATAATCCGAGCTGCTCAGGAGGCAGAGATCAGGAGGATCGTGGTTTGAAGCCAGCTCCAGCAAATAGTTCCACGAGACCCTATCTCAAAAAACTCCATCACAAAAAAGGGCTGATCACCAAGACCAAACCCACCCTGCTCTTTTAACATGGGCAAGGGCCTCACCCTCTTTCCCATGGATGGGCAGATGCCTTCAACCAAGTTACCTCTGCAAGAGGGGAAGGCTGAAGGGGACCTGCCCCTCCAGGGCTACCTGGAGTACCTAGGTTACCAAGGGTACCTCTTGGTTACCAGGGGAGAGGACACATGAAGGTGGAGCTAGTCACCCAACATCTTTGCTCAGTCGACATCCCAGAGAGCCAGGCAGCTTGCCCAACTCCCTGTACTTAATCCAGGCACACTGGGGAGAGGCGCCTTTGTTCCTGCTCCCCCACCCCCTTTTCATGTCCTGATAGGGCTGGGGATGGCCTCCAGGTAATTGTCACTTTTATGCTGCCTGAGGAGTGTCACAGCTCCTCCAGCTCAGCCACAGTCCTGTTGCCCACCTCCCAGCCTTTGTCCTCCCCAGCTCCAGCTCTCACTTACAGATCAAATCGGAGGTTTTGTTTCTCCTCAAAGAAGTAATCCACGATGAACTTGCGCACAAAGTCAGGGTTGAGCGTGTTGTCGATGACTTCGGTGCGTCCAAACTGCAAGAGAAGACAGGCTTGGCAGGGGATGGAACCAGGCTTGTGGTCCCTCTGTCCTGGCTCCAGGAGTTAAGAAAGTCCTGCTTTCTCCGGGTTCCTGCCCCCATCCCTCCTTGGTCCAGGTGTGAGCTCCACCAAATAAGAACAGAAACCACCTTATGGCTCCAACCTATGGTCAGGCTTATTTTCCCTCCACCCATGGACGGTGTGGTTGTCTGGGATGACCTTGGCCCTCACCTGGCCACCTTCCCTGCCAGGAGTGTGTCCTCCATGCCGCCAAGGCCCCTTGAGAATGCCACCTCCTCCAGGGAAAATTCCCAATTCCTCCAACCAGAGTTTGACTTCTCTGAGCCTCCACTGAACTTGGGCCCACCCATGGCTACAGCTCATCTCTGATTGGCTCCACTATTAGTAGTGTACTTATTTGAGGCCCTACTTGTAAACGTAAGAGCAGCATCCTCCTAAAAGTGCCTCCTCCAGTGGACTATGGGCTGGATATAGTTAGTGGCCACTCCTAATGACCACAACATCACACATGTCATAGGATTATGTTACACGTGGCTGTGACTTCTTTCTTGGTGGCCCTCTTTGCTCTGTGCTGCTCACTTTCTTCGATGAGGCCAGCAAACCTTGTGAGCTGCCCTCTGCAGAGGATGCCAAGGAAATGAGAGAGGCCTTTGGCCAACAGCCAGTGAGAAACCACAGTTGGTGGTCCACTCATCTAAAAGAAGGTAAATCAACCTCTGGGTGAGCTGGGTGCAAATCCTGGCCCGGTAAACCTTGAAATGATGGAGGCCCTGGTCAACACCTTCACTGCAGCCTCATGGGAGACCCAGAGCCCAAGGCCCAGATTTCTTTCTTGTTGTTTAAAGTACAATTCTGGGCTTGCTTGTTACTCAGCAGTAGGTGACTAATACATAGACTTAGTTTTCTTGGTTTTCCTTGAAGAGGTAGTCTAGAATTTTGCACACAATGGATAATAACTGAATCCCGTTAAATTCCCAAGTGACTTTGGGCATCACTGTCCATCTCTGGCCCTCAGAGTCACCTGGAGGCCTTGTTAAAATGCAGATTGGGGCTCACGTTTAGAGGTTCCCATTCAGTAGGTCTGGAGTGGGGCCTGAGAACCTGCATTTTACAGAACCTCCCCTGTGATGCTGGTGCTGTTGGTTCATGGACCCCTCCTTGAGAACTACGGGACAGGACTATAGCTCCAAGTTCATCGAAGGCTTCCTTGCCATGGCAAGGCAGTGGGCATGACTCCAGCCAACAATCCCATCAAAGTGGCTCTCCTCTGCATCTGTTCAATACCCTGGAGAGAATTTTATTTTAAAAAGGGCCGGGCATGGTGGTTCACACCTGCAATCCCAGTTACTTAGGAGGCGGAGGCTGGAAGATCAAGGTCCGCGGGCAGCCCAGGCTAAAGCTCAAGACCCTGCCTGAGAAACAAACTGAAGGCAGAGAACTGGGGTGCAGCTCAAATGGAAGAGTTCCTGCCTAGCAAGTACAAGGTCCTGAGTTCAAACCCCAGTACTGAAAAAGGTGGGGGGCGGGGGGGAACAAAGCCAGAAGCCACTGCTTACTATGCTCTAGGAAGTCAGGGCCATGTTCCTTATAATATTTCCTGGGGTCTCAAAACGGATATGACGGGCAGGTGCAAGACAGAATATGGTAAACAGATTGTTCACTGTCCTAAATTTTAGCATGCACTTACTAGGCAGGCGCGCTTACCACTTGAGCCATTCCACCAGCCCTCTTCTGTGGTGGGTTTTTTTGAGATAGGATCTTGGGAACAATTTGCCCAGGGTTGGCTTTGAACCTCGATCCTCTTGATCTGTGCCTCTTGAGTAGCTAGGATTACAGGTGTGAGCCACCGGCACCTGGTTTAGAATGCATTTTTAAACTGGAAGGTATTTGCCAAAAATCCCAAAGAATCCTGAGGCTAGTTCTTCCTTGATATGGGTTTTGCAGTCCAGGAAGACGCTAGCACATGTGGAGGACAAGGCCTGGGTTACCTGGGACCTCTCTGGAGTGTCCCTGTACCCTGAATTAAATTAGAAACCCACAAAGGGAGCCTTACACCACACAAGGCAGCATGGTCCAGGGGAGCCCTAGATTTACCACTATTTTTTTTGGGGGGGGGTGTTGGGGACTGAACTCAGGGCCCCAAGCCCAGTACATTTAGTGTCTTGTCCCTCACCCCTCACTGAACCAACCCGGTCCCTGCCAATCCCAGCTGTTAAGTGTCTCCTCCCACACCTGCTCCCCGTGACCCCCCTCATATCTCTAGGATCTGAAACATCCAAATAATGACTTAGAAGTCTCTTTCTGCCCCCCACTGGAGTGAAAGCGTCTCAGGCAGTGGGAAATCCAAGTTCCTGTCACCCTTGTAACCCACGACCTGATGCAGTGTCCAACACAGAGTCACAGACAGCCAACGCCTGCTGAGCACATGCGGCACGCCAGGGCCAGCTTGGAATACATCATGCCACTGCATTGCTACACAAAGCCTTGGTGGCGGTCTTGCCCATCTTAGAGGTGAGAAAACAGAAGCACAGGAAAGTTAAGTAACTCATCGAGGGCCACACAGCTCAGACTCACTGACCTCAAGGCATAACCCAGGTGCCAGCCGGGCTCTCTACATCATGGGGCACTGCAGAGGCTGTGGGGAGGGGAAGGAATTCCTGTGGCTTCTGCTCCTGCCTCCAGGACGGGGATACAGCTGGTACCCACGAGTCAAAGATGGATTATGGTTGAATGAGGAAGTGGATGAATGGGTTTGAGTCTCAGCTTCATCACAAGCTACTTGTATGATTTTGGGGAACTGGGGATCGAGCCCAGGGCCTTGCATATGCTAGCCAGTCATGCTACCACTTGAGCCATGACCCAGCCTCTAGATGTGTAGGTGTGTGAGTTGTCAGAACCTCTCAGAACCACTTTCCTCACCTAGAAAATGGAGAGTATTACTTGTCCTTACTTTGTTTTCCTTCTTCCTTTTTTTTGAGATAGAGTCTCATAAGTCAGCCTGGCTTCCAACTATCTATGTAACCCAGGCTGGCCTCAAACCCACGATCTTCCTACCTCAGCCCCCCGACCCAGCACCGGGATTACAGGTGTGCACCATCACGCCTGGCTACTTGTCCTGCTTCCTTTCTAACGTTATCATTCAATTCAGCTCAAGTACTATACAACAGGTTTTGTGGGTTTTGTTTTATTTTGTTTTTGTGGTGCTAGGGATGAACCCAGGCCTCTCATGTACTGAGTGATATCCTCAGTCCTACACAACAGTTTGCAAGCCCTTGCTGAGGCCAGGCAGTACTGGGCTACACAAACACACAGAACATAACCTGAAGAGTTCTCTACTGCAGGTGAGGCAACTCCGAATTCCTGGGGGTGTGAGAAAGACATTGAAATGGACTAAAAAGCTGATGTCGTGTCCCGTGTCACCCACTGGGGCAGGTATTAATTCTAGAGGGCCTGGCTCCGGCCATTGTCTTGGAACCGTTCTGTAAAATATACAGAGCGGCTCTTGTGCGCAGAAATACAAGTGGTTCTGTACCGTGAAAGCGACTGGTTATTGCCCTGTGCAAACTGGCAAGTCTAATGTATTTGTAAATTTATTTCAGAATTCCTGATTGCCTGGATGTGTGTGTTGTCCCAATTATTTCACTGGACCAGTACTGTCTTACTGGTTTCCTCACTGATGAACAAGTTAATGAGTGTTTGTCATCTGCTCATTGTCTGGGAGTGAGATTTACCTTTTTGAAAAATCCATCCTTTAACAGGTGGTTCTTAAAAGTACCCCCAATGAAGCCCCTCCACAGAGCAATTCCATCTGAGTCTCTGTGGGCAGGGCGGGCAACCATGCTTCTTAACGTTCTCTAGGTGACTCCAACAAATGGAGTTTCGGCTCCTAGTGATTGAGAACACGGCAGAAGGAAGGCAACATTTACAGAGCCCTACTCAATGCTCAGTAGATAATCGGGTTATCTTATTCAGCTCTTTAAAAATCCTGAGTGTCAGCACAAGTAAGGAAACCGAATCAGCGAGGTTAAGTAACTTGCCCATGGTCACACAGTTAGGCGCTCCAGAGTCCACTGTATTGTTTTTTCATCCATCTGCAAGGAGCCAGCCAACATTACAAAAATCAAACACACACAGGTCTACTTCACACACACAGAGCCAGGCAATGGTGAGGCCACTGGCTGAATAAGATTGGGTTTTTGTCTCACTCCCTGAATTCACAACCTTACACAGATCCACTCCTGTTCTAGAGGAGTTCCTGGGGTCTTCTCCCCCGTTCTAATTCTCTATACCTCCTGCCTTCACACAAAAGGGAGATGTCTCCTAAAATCTTCCAGGTAAACGCTCAGATTTCAGAGACTCCTCCCCAAGGACTAGATCTCGGCCCCTCCCCCTGCCCTGCCCTCCCTCCTCCAGCTCCTGGGAGTGGGGGTGACATCCCTTTGGCAGAACTGAGACATACGCCCCCTCTTTCAGGCCACCTGCCCGCCCATGGGAAAACACCCATCGGGAAAGAACGTCACTGCTTTTAAAATGGCACTTGAAGCTTCAACACAGGGAATTCCCTAGAGCTGATCTGTGCCTCGGAAGGAAACGGAGTTCCCCTGGAAACGGGATGGGGGGGGACATTTTAGGGAGCAGGCGAGGGGCTTGCGAGCCAGGCCAGGCAGTGATGGATTACAGGACTGAGAGGCAATTAACATACGCACATCCCTAACATACGCACATCCCTAACAACCGCAAAATCCACAATCAAGGGAGTTACTAGGGATGTTTTATGGCCTTCATTACTTGGACTAATAACAGTGAGGAAAAAATGCTAAAGCTTGGATTTTAAAAATCCAAGAAGCCACCAGGTTCCTGTCAGGTATAATGTACACCCCCGTTAATGACCCAAGAACACAAGTGAACTGATGTTAAGAAAAAAAATCAATTTGGCTGCTGTATTTGGTTTTACAAAGAGTCACGGAGTTTTG